TCCTGAACATCATAGAACTTGTTTAATTCAGTAAGAATTTATTGCTTGTTACATTTTAGTGATTTTTATAACAAGGAAACAACAAAGGGCCAGGAATGTGGTCACTGCATTCAAGACTAAGTTCGATTAAACTGGCATCCAAATTTACAGAACTGTCTGTTGTTTTTCCAAAGAAATGAAAAATTATGTCTTCCTGCTGCCCACCCTTTCCTGTCATTGTTTTTCAAACACGTTATATGGGCCAGACATCAAAAGGACAAGAGAGAATGTACCATCCAGGCCAAACACCCACACAGCTCTTAAGCCACTATCTAAACCAGCTGTGGCATCCCTGACCTGACATGCCAGATGTCTGGGCTACTGGAGTGAAAGTGCAAAGAAATTCCTGCAGCAGCATTTACCTGCAGCTTGCTCCTTTTCTTTGCAATGATACCGTTGAGTGGAAAAATGAGAATGACAGTCGCAATTCCTGCCAAAGCCGACGGACCAAGATGCTAAAAAAAAAGAAGGGATAAAACCGTGTCAAAGGGACTGTCACTTAAACTGTATATGTGCATGAATGGGAGGCATTGTGAAAACATTTTGACATACCTGCCAGAGGAAGAAGAGACAAAGTGCAATCTCGATAGGAGCCAGCCAGACAGCGTTGAAGTACACCACAAAGTCCATGAGCTTCTGAGTGTCTGCTGAAACCAGATTCACAATCTCACCCACAGTGCAAGTCCTCCTGGAAGCGCTGTTTATCACCAAAGACTGGATTGGCAAAAAAAGAGACAAAGGCATTTTAGCCCTCAGTGCAGTGTGTACAAAATAATTTTATACCTTGTAAAGATTTTACACCGTCATTCATCTTAGGTGAAAGCTGTTAATGATACACTGTGAACTGTTTTTCCAGCCTGGAAGGCGAAAAGGCTTTTATTTTCACAATTTAAGACATAATTTATGCTGTGTCTGGCGGTTAGTGGCTACAATTCGGTTGATACAGATTTACCCACCTTCCTATAAACCAAGCCCATAACAGCTGTCTTCACCCGCATCCCCACTGTGAAGCAAGTGTACATGTACTGATGGTTGAAGAGCGACTGGAGGCAAGACAGCAGGAACATTAAAGTGGCGTAGAAGTAGCCTTTCCACAGTGGCGCGTCCTCGTCTCTCATGAAACCAAGGAGAAGACTATGAAGGAAGAGAAGTAAAGCATTCATGTTTAATGTTCAGTAGTTTGTAAAATGCTTTGCTTGACCTCCTAACATACTGTAATAAAGCTCGATTTCTGTATTTTTCCTGGAAAGTCGTGAATGATACAAAGCAGAGCTGACACACATTTCATTCAATCTGGTATTATCTGACTTCCATTGTGTGCCTTAAACCAAAGGCCTTGAGCACTGCTGTGGCTGCTGGCTCCCTGGTCCACACAAAGTGGCTCGAGTTGCACAACTGAGCTCGGCCTGTGGTCTAGCTGCCCTCACACTTGGCCGGCGGCTCCCTTATTGTGGTCCGACTGCATTTCTGCCATTTAGAGCCTCCTCTCCCTCACTGCCTATCCTCCTTGCTGGAGCTCAGAGGGTTGTGGTCTCGTCTCCTTTTCTTGCTCACAGCTTCACGACCGTAATTAACACTTCCACTGATTCTGTGCTGTGCATGAACAACAACATTCCAGTCTGACTGGTGGGATGGTGCGGCGGGTGGCGGGTCAGCCTGACCTGTTTTCACTGCTGCCAGCTTCTGTTGTTGTTTGGTCGTCGGGGTCATAAATCATTGAAATCATTGAAAATAGGCCCAGCTATCTATATCTCTATCTCTCTATCTATCTGCGGATATTTTAGACTGTGGTATTTTTGTCTGCTGTTTCTTCATTAAATCATTATAAACTGTGATGTCCTTTCTCTTAAATCTCAAAAATGAATCGGACAGTTAGCCCCCCAAAACACAATAAAACCTAATTTTACTCTGGCCTGGATTGTAGTGCATCCAGGTAATTTCAGCCTGAGCTGAGGTTTGGAAAGGTTTGGCTGCATCTTGCCTTAATACAGTATACTCTGTGCCATTTGGTTTGTGGGACTCCAAGCAATGAAAAAGTTATATTTGACCAACCCAAGAGCCATATCTTTATCCAAATATAATGGCCTAGTTACTTCACAGTAGCACAGAAACCTTCTTGTGACCAGTATCTTTCAGAATTTCTTGCTATCAAAGTGCAGCGACCTGACGTCTGTCTTCACGTTGACGATATTTGTGATTTATGTTTGAAAGAATTGTTTTGAGAGACTTTTAGCACCACAGAAATCCAGAGCTTCATGGTGCTGAGTTGAGATACAGCTCAAAATACTGGAACCCGGTAAAAGCAGATTTGGGGTTTTGGTGTCTTACCTCAGCACCTGAGGGATAGCGAACATGAAGGCATCGTGGAATATGATACACAGAGTTCCAGTCAGGAAGTATGGACCAAAGTTGCGAGCCAGCGTCCTGAGCAGGAAGAACCCTGAGCTCTGTTCCTTCTGCAGCTTCCTGAGGAGCTGAGCCTGGTCTGGCAGTCTGCTGCCCATCGCCACACCCGACGCTAAGGCCTTCTCCTGCCTGCATGAAGGAGAAAACGCACACAGTTACAGACAAGACATCTGCGTCAGAGCTTCACCAACATGCTGAAGGCAGCTTTCAAGTTTTTAACGTAAAGCAGACCATATTTGTGCCATCACTGGACTGGTCTGAAGAGTCCACCAGCAGCTGTGAAAAGCAGTTTTTGCTGGAATAATTATTACACTTAATGATGGTTTTCAAAGCCCTGGATGATGTTAACAAGCCTTGACAATGACACGGGGCTCGTGTCTTGACATTATGGTGCTGTGTGTCCTCAAAGGACTCCTCAGGCCTGTTTTTAGCCCACAATGGCCACAGTGATGAGACATCCAGAATGTCAGTTCACCACAGTCATAGCTAAATCATGCTCTGCTTGGGACATTAGTTCATCCAGCACCATGTTGAATGTTTGACCACACTGCAATAAAGTGGAATTGATTCTTTGGCTGTTAAACTATGACAATAGTTAGAGCAGTACAATGCATCGCAGGCCTGCGTTAAAACAGCAAGCCATATGAAGAAACATGAAAGACAATATGTGCATGTTTTGCACATGTCGTTTCCTTGTGTCTTCTGCCGCAGATTAATGTGCCGACTGCTGGCTAATGCACACTGCACATTACTCAGCCAAGCACAGAGGTCATTAAAAAGGCCCTCTAAAGACTTCACTCAGTTCTCTTGTTATGTCTAGTCATCCAGTGAAAAATACTTGTACAATGTGTTCTGTTGCTCTGGCTGGAACTCTCTAAAGTCTGAGAAGTATGGCTGAGGATGTTATTTGTTGGAGTTATCTAGTCTTCGGCTTAAAATAATAAAATAATCAGAACAGGAAGTCTGAATTGCAGACTGGGGACTTGGAGTTTGAATACCAATGCTGTCGGTTGCATTACAAAAAATGGAGGATCCAGTGTTTTTGGAGCATTACCCAAACTAGATTAGTGCAATGCAGGGCTAACTGACTGGACAACCCTAGTAAACAGTCAGTTACATATAATCCTTACTTCTGAATGTTGGCACATTCAGCTGTCCAGTCCTCTTGCAGCTCAGAGATGATCTTATGTGAAGTGTCTTCCTCCCTCAGGGTCCACAGATCTTCAGCCTCCAGTGGACTACGATACCCTTTAACAACAAGCCTGAGGAGGGAGCACGGGGGCATGATTCACAGACATAATCACCAGCAAAACACACATATTATTGTAAACAAGTACAAACTGTTGCTGTAGTGAGTTGGATTTTGCCTAAAATGAAGGGTTTTCTTAGAACCAACTTACCCAGTGAACCACCAGAAGAGGATCTTTGACAGGAAGGAGGCATCTTTGACGGGACAGGGATTCTGCAACAGATTAGAGACCAGACTCACTGTTGTTTTCGCAGTAAATCTCTCACCACTTAAAGGCTTTCGAGAAATCAACAGCCGTCGGTTGATGGTTGTACAGGAAACTTGCGAGGGGTGTGTTTCAAGAATGTTAATGTGTGTAAACAACGCTGTACACTCAGGTGGTCCATTGTGGGGAGCAAAGGCCATGAACTCCCACAGGACAGAATAAATAGAGCTCAGTGTTAGAGCAGGGTGAGGATGACGTTCTGAGGTCTGGTGCAGACAGAGCGGAAATGTGTCATCACAAACTGTCCAACAAGTGGATAGACACACACACATGCAGACATGGAGAGTTTGTGCTCTCACGCATACTTTATGGCATCTCCTCCACCCAGCCACCCCCTCACCAGGGTGTTTGCTCTCCTCGTTACCAGTACTCTCGCTCTTTGTCCCCTCACTTCCTCTCTTCCTGTGAGTAACTCTAACCAGAACGTGGGGTGGAGGAGGTGGAGGGGAAAAAAAAAAAGGAAAGACGAGGACACACCAATGGGTGTGTCCACCACGCCAGACTGTGGCTTCTGCACCCTCAGCCTCCTCACCGCCAGCCGAGAGTTTGTTAGGGACTTTTCCAGCTATTTTGATTGTTTATCACCGGGGAAATATTACATCACATAGTGGTTAGATTGATTACGAGCTCATTTTCATTCACCTGTCAGCTGCCCTGAAGTTAACTTGAGTTTCTGCCAAGCTCATGTTTGATGGGAAAGTGAGATGCGTATTAAATAATGGCTTTGCTGCTGTGCAGTCACAGACTCCAAGCAGCAGTCATGATGTTATCTAACACGTGTGAGTCGTAGTAGAGGTATGCAGCATCAAACACACACTTATTCATACTTCCCACATAGGAAGCCAAAGTGGTGAAGTGAGAGAGGAAGGAGGGAGGAGGTGAATCACATCATTTCCTCCAAAAGGGAAAAGTGTCTCGACGACAAAAGTTGAAAACCACAAAACAGCTACTTAGGCATTTTTCTTTCCTGGGATACTGGATCGGAGTAGACGTTTGGACGGAAGTGGAATGCATTCTCCTCTGCCTACCTTTTCCAAGATGGATTTTCCCTCTGGAGGCTGATCAGCAAAACAACACAGGAAGAGCTGGGCCAGTTGGATGGTGAAGTAGGAGAAGAAGGCGAGGTATCGTACAATATCAGAGGCAATGCCCTGTGGAATAAATAGAAAAAACACAGATTAAATGACACTGCTAGAGGGCTGAAAAGGCCAAAATCTGTGAGAGTTCCCTGAGTTTATTTGCTTCAAGTTATTACAGGCACATTTTGTAGGTTTGGCGTCTATTTTTAAGCCGGGGACGCAATTAATTGGCTTTGTGGCCGAGTACATGCCACAGAAAAATAACAATGTTCTTACGTGAAGGTTTTTGCTCGGATCAAAATATGCTTTGACTGTTTCATCTCTTTCAACATGCCTTAACAAATAACACAACATCCTGTGGTATACTGCATCATTTATCGCCGCCGTGGCTTTGCGTGCAGTTTCACAACAGCAACAAATTCTTTATACTGCTTCCCCCTTGCCTACATATTGTATAGCAGAGAATGGTTTATGTACCAAGATCACAGACACAATAAAGAGTATTTTGGACCTTAAAGCTAAATCAGGGTGAAAACCCAGAGTCTTTAATGGTGTACTTTATATAAATGAAGCAATAGTTAAAGCTGCCTCTCAGTCACGCTAGCCCATATCTGTAAATAGGGAGATTGTGGTTTTACAAACCAGCTCCCTTACTTTCAATCAAGGGAGCAGCTGCAATATTAACCACTCAGAGACTTTTGTGAAATGTAGGACTTGCGTGTTATTCCTGACGTACAGAAATTGTGGGTTCTGGCACAGGCATTGTTTACTACTGGTTCAACGCCACTGCCACAGCCAGGCTGTTGTGCAGCAGTATGCATGAAACTCGAAGCCATGGTAAACAGTAAAATGATTTTCTTCGAAAAGTGTGGTGCTGTGCTCAGAAAGGAGATATGAGGGGCCAAATGGATCCGGCCACACAGTTTATAAAAAAGAAACAGGGTCAGGATGGTTGGAGAGTGGGTGGGAAAAATGTAGGTCAAGAAACTAAGAATGGCCAAGGGTCCACAAACATGAACTCTGTCAACTCGAGCCATCAACACCGCAACGTGAATTAGACACTTTGTGTATAAGTATTTTGAAAATGTGTCAGTGCAATATGTAAATGGGAGCTGAAACAGATAACAACTGCTGAGCAGCGCTGCCTCATTTTTGGTCTTTTACTTGTTACTGTCCATCATAACAAAACTATAACATGAAATACAAAACAAACACACTGAAAATAGTGTAGCTTTAAAGTTCTTTTTTAATTTTTTTAAATTTTTTATAAAACTAATACTGACTGGGTTAAATTGGGAAAAGAGGACATTTTTAATCTAAGATCAGAGAAACAAAAATTGAAGCATACCAGCCAACACACCAATTTTTTAAATCGGATTTTTTTTCAGTTTGATACCTAATTTCTCGATGTAGTTGTATTCAGTGTCCCATCTTAGGTTTAGCCTGTACATTTGAGTTCTCGCTCACTTTGGTATTAATGCACTGTTACGGTTGCAGCTGTATGATATTAAAGTCATAGTTTTACATTTATGGAAACATGCTCATTCACTCTCTTGCCAAGATAAGAAGATTGATTTCACCCTCCTGTCTGCATGTTTGGCAAACTAGCAGATGATTATTTATCTTCTAAAGACATTAAACATGAGGAAAGAGTGAATATGCCTCTGTCTATGTTAAAATCCTCCTTTCAAGCTCACTTACAGATATCTGGTTGAAATCACACAAAAAAACAAGCTACAATAGCAACAATTTCTCCTTTTATGGACCTCAATGTGCTGGTTTAGTGTTGTTTTTATTTATTTTTTCTGAACAGATTTTTGTTTGGACTAGACAAACATAGTAAAATGTGTCAGTTTCCAATTATTACTTAGAGCCAGATTAGCTACTTCACTCTGTTTACTGTCTTTGTGGTGAACCAAAGCTGACGGGCTGCTGGTTGTACCTTCATATAAACATACAGATATGAAAGTGCTATCAGTCTTCTATTCTGAGTCCTAGAAAGGATGTAAATAAACACATTTCCTCTAAAATATTCTTTCAGCAGTAGTTGCATAATTAGTTGAATAAAAGCCAATTATCACTTCATTCATTTTTGCAGTTGTCTTCATGACCATCCAATTTTTGGCAGCCTCATCTACAAATCAGCAGTATATCATTGAATATTGCTCTTTGACAAAACACATGATCTGCTTGACATTTAAGCCAAAGCTTTGATAACAATTTTTTTTTTTTTTTTTTTGCTTAAAATGTGGGTTGGATGATATTAAAAAGTAGATGGACAGAATCCAGCATATGGATCTGATTTATCAAGATGTAAAAATAGGATTTGGAGGATAAGTATACAAGCGGTCAGGGTAATCAGAAGTGCATCGTCTGCACACTTTTGCGGTTGTATGAAATGCAAACATCTGTGTCTCAATTGGAAATGGCTTTGCATTATGTGTGGATGCATAGATTTCCATCTGGCTGTGTTTACAGCAGTGTAGGCCCATAAACACAGCGCTGACGTTCCTCTGGTCTGACCCTGGGCTGCCATGTCTCACCAGCATTTATCCCAGGGCCATCATTACTCTCCCCCAAGCAGTGTGGGAATGTCACACTGAGAACGATAAAACAGAAATATGGATGTGTGTGTGTTTGTGTGTTTTTATAGAAATGCAAATGCGACTGCCCCATGGTTGTGTGCACTTAAATACAAACTCACCCAATACAACAATGATTGTAATGTCTGACGGGAGACACAGGAAGAAAAGGCAACCTTAAACACACACAGGCTTGACCAGAATTGGCAGTGTCATCCTCCAACACTTTGTGTTAACTTTAGGTTACCTTGGTTAAAATTGGGGGATGAAATAGAAACTCTTTGCTGACACAGGGTATATCTCAAGCTGTGCTGCTGGAGTCTGGTGTCTAGACTATGGGTAGGAGTAGACCTGATTAGATATCCCTGAAGGGTGTTTTGACACTGCAAGTTCACAGAGTTCAACCTGGATGAACAGATTGCATTTGACTGCAACCAATTCCTGAATTTCAGTATAAGGAGGAGTGTTGATGCTTGGAATGTATACTATCATGTGTAAATGCATAAAGCAGGGGGATGATATTCATAATAAATGATAGAGTGTTTCATTTTTCATATTTATCGATAGGCTAACTACATACCTCATCCATGGCCAGTTGGATCTTCGCTCTAAGAGGCACCAGGGAACAGACAACAGCCAAGACCCAGAAAAGGAAGAGGAATACAGAGGAGCGGCAGCCCCTTATTCTTTCCAACTGGATGATGCATAATGCCAGGATCTACATGGAGACACACAGAGAGACAGAGAGACTTCATTTCAGAATTCATATGTGTGACAGGAGAGGAGACAGCTCCAGAACCAGAAGAGCAGAGAGCCAAAACTCTAATCTGTGAGGCCACGTTGATGAACCGCCTGGAGCGACACGATGGACAGCAACGGGGATTTCACAGCGTGAATCCACTTTTTGAACTTAAACAAATATTATTGACGTACCAATGGGCATAACAATGCTTTCTATGTTTTGTAGTAGATAGTTAAGTTTTGCTTTCCAAGTTGTAATTTAGCGCTAATTCAATTGTGGAAAATAACATTAATTCCCATGTATTCCTGCCAGTGTCACAGCCAGGGTTTTCAATGGACCATAGAGAATATAATCAGATTTAGTCTGATCTAATGCAGTCGATGGTGGTTTTGAAGCAGAACTTGTAATTCTGGGAATTCCCTTGCTGCTGGTGTGCATGTGACTTGGCAGACTTCCGTCCATGAAAAAATGACACATACATGGTATGCCGCATGCCCTGCACACATTGCTAAACATTATTATATATACCTTCCTACACACACAAAAAAAAAACCTATACCATGATGTTTTCCTAGAAATAAGACTGATTCAGTGTCTTTGTCTGTCCTCAGAGGAGTCGTGCATCTGCCTGCGAACCGCTGTAATTGGGCCCTCGCTGAGTGGCTGGCCAAGTGAGACGTCATTTTGTCATGCCAGCTCATCACCAAGTGGGGAGAAAGCGGGTTTAGGTTTCATAATGAGTACCACATTGGTTACACTGGGATGAGCCACAGTGCTGTCCTGTTATAAACAAGTGGTCTGGTAATTATATAAGTTTTTTGCATCAACAACCTGATGCGTTTTATGGGCAGACGTGTACACATTTCTGTGCGGTGGCCAAGAGGGTCAACATCTCCATGTATACCAATGATACAAACAACATTTACAGTTTTTGTATATTCACTGCAGTGACACAGAGTCATTTATTGGGTTGTTCGTTCATTTTCTCTTTACATTTGATACTTGCCAGCACTTCAGAGAATGAACACAAATAGTCTCTTACAATCATACCTATGGGGAATTTAGAGTCTCCAGTCCACCTCAGTTTCTTTGGGAAGTTGGAGCCAAAGAACACACCAACAGTATGGCGGGGACGTGAACACAAGGACATCATGCAAACTCGAATCGAGTAAATGCCCAAGAACTTTATGTACTTTAGGGGTAGAAATGCCATGATTACAGATACTGTAATAACTACTAACTAAGTAGTTTCTCAGTTTTAGTAGACAGCAGGACTTCTTTCTTTTTTGGTGGTTTTGGTTTCTTGCAAGAACCAAAAATAGTAGTCCAGCTGCCTTTTACTGAAGGTTTAAGATTACCATAAACTTGATGACTCAGAATCTGCACAGACATCAATTTTTGCTCTTTTTCCTTACTAGTTATCAATACAAGCGCTCTTACTTGTACTCTGCATTAATTGGCTGTTGATGACATTTTATCATCTTATTAGAGTACCATGGCAATCTTGTTATCAAATTATATATTTTCTTTACACATCTGCAGATACGGAGTAGCCTTATCATTTATTTGGAGTTGGTTTGTGTCCAGCTGAGGAATGCAAATCTAATACAAACTCTCTTTGTGGCTCAGTTTTGTTCTCCACCACTTGTTTAATGCTCTACTATGTTCACCAGATAGTCACTAATTTCATCTGCTGTTTGGTGTTTGGCAGGTTTGTAGCTTTTGAGCTTGTAAAAGTTTTTCTCTGGAGACTTTAATCAGTAAAGATGGAGATCGCAAATTCAAAACAGTTAGCGGAAAGTTGCGAGAGATCTGATGGGAAACTGCAGAGTTGGTTGATAATCTGTGTGGAATCGATTTAAAAAGAGGATTCCTGCAGCATTAAAGAGAGCATTTTCTTTAACTGAAACGCAGAACAGTTGATTTTCCTGGAGTTTTAATCAACTTGACAGAAAGTTCTCAAGCCCTCTGTGGGACTACATATCTCTTACATCTATAAGACCCACAGTGAGTTTCTCAGCAGTACCAAACCCACGGGAGGAACTTTATGTTCTCAACAGCTTGTACTTTCGCCCCTAATGGCATGAGGCTGCATCAGCCCCAATCCAAACCTTAACATAAAGCTTCCCTTCGGTCACTATAGGTAGTAGGCAGGGTCCCTCCTATTCCGGGCCTTCCGCTCTGACTTGCCATATTGCTGCAAACCATCAGCCCATCTGTTTGCACAAGTCAGTGGGTGGAACCAACTTCATCACGAAGGCCCGAATCAAAACCCTACCTTATAATTATATGGGAAGTGTGCAGTTCTGGGGAAGGAATAGGAGCTTTACGTCATGGTATTACTGATTATAGTGGGTGTCATGTGTGCAGTTTTCATCAATAGCGACCGCGTTTCACTCGTGGGCTGACTGACTAGGGGAAAAACGTTCCCATACATTAACTTGAGTTGAAAGGCCAGAAAACAAGTGGGTCGGAGCAACAAGGGCACAGTGTTCCCTTCCTGCACCGAGGGAACGCGCAACATCGAGAAAATTACATCCTATAATAAAGATAAATCTGGTGAGTAGATTAAAAGATTGGCGACATGCTCTTAAAATGGTGTAGTGGGTGTTTGTTGTCTGGCCCCCCTTATGTGAGAAATTATATCCTCAAAATAAATGGCTTTTTTGGAGATGTATCCCTTGATACAAGAGACGTCTCAGTGTATTTTTTTACCCAAACACGTGCTGGTATTTACTCAGGAGTCTGCAAAGACCACAGGTGGGCAAAGCTGTCTGGCTTGGAGAGAGTGAGACTGAGCAGGACCTGTATAAGGCTGCACAGAGAGGAAGCTTTGTAAGTAAAACTATATGGCTTTAGAGGCTCACAGGACCACAGCAACCCTTCCTATCTGGGCTCCGCACTCTTTTAGCTCATTGTAATTCTCATATCTCTCCTGCTTAGCATAAACAGCGTTTAAAACTCGCCACGCCACCCATGTTGAACTGCACACCTCATCTGTTTTGCCTACTCATTCGGGTAAAGTATCATTTAAAATCTACCGAAAATGAGAGGGATCGATGTTCACAGAAACATACAGGGCGATTTCCATCAACAAAGGCGACTGGAAACATTTCTGTGATTGCATAGCAGCCCTTATCTTCTATAAATTATGTTCTGTAGCCCACCCTACGCGCCGCCCTGATCCAGGTCAGCGAGGCCGCTACAGTTTGATTCGAGAGGGAAGAGACAAACAAAACTTGTAAAGATTAAAGATCTCACCCAGACTGTGTAAAACTGAAATGTCTGATTTGGATCTGGACATTTGATCTATTTTGGCTGTTTTTTGTTTTAGAAATCAGTGTACAAACAATGGATTTTGAGTGTGGTTCGGTTTATTCCAAACCTCTGATTCTTACTGCGAGGGAGACTGACTGAATATTTGGTCCTTTATCTTTTCTTTTCCGCTCTGCTGCGGCATTGCAATTAAACACAATACACCTTAAATATAGTTTTGGTCAGAACAATGGTGCTCAAATAGGGATCTGGCGTCAAAACATCCAGTCCAACATTACACCTGTAGCCTATATAAAGACTTCATCTTTCTATGTAATTTAGGGTTAGTGCAGACTACAATTGTGTATCATCACCTTTGTATTTGATGGTTTAGTGTTTTTTAAGGACAAACCAAAACGCTGGAAGAAAGTCAGATGAACTCGATGTGCATTAGTCAAGACGCTTCCACCTCTGAGCATTTGCATACTGTTACATAACTGGCCAAGCGTCAACTGTAACTTGATGAAAGCTCTTGAGTGGACAAGTGCTGACTGTGTAGCTAGTATTTATAAGTGTTTATGACATATTGGCATCAAATCTGAAATGATGTGGGGAAAACAATACAGTATGTACTTTGGAAAAGTACAGTTCATGCTGCATTTTGGCCTGTAAAATATCAGAGCCATTATATATACAGTATATATTTTCTTCATGACACATGGTCTGTCAGTGGCAAGGCACATATCACATTTCTCTGCAATGGAACTTTGCACATACATACTTGACAGGGATTCAACATCAAACAGTAATTGATGTCATTACTTATGTACCCTGTACTGACGAGTGATGTCAAATCCACACTGTGTTTGCAAGGTACTGTAATATTTACATTGCCTACAACACTATAAATCTATCCCTGGTTATGCATCTTTGCACCTTAGTGTCTGGCCAACATTTTATACATACACTATATAGTCTTTCACGTGTTTGCACATTGACATGTGAGCCAGCAGGGACACGGGCTGAAATATTCCCAAAACTTCTCCGTTACCCAGAGCAACTCAGGGGAGGAGAATGTTAAATGTGCAACTAGAGCTACAAATCAACACAGCTCGATAGTTAAAGCTTCTTTTCTTCATATATAAAAATGCTGGACACATTAACCTATTGCACATGATTATTTTGCATTCACTGAATCAAAACCCTTTCAAAACTTGGCCAGAAATAAAGCTGCTCTCTTGCTTTTTGCCAGAGACTTAACATTAGGGTTATAACACAATTTTTTCACACCCAGTTGCACTTCAGTGGTATTTAAGATAAGCCATTTTCCCCCTTAGTTTCGCAATACAAACACATATTATAGTGTTTTATGTGAATGTGGACTATATTGCACCGAACCGTGCTGTTTTCCAAAATTACCGCTTTGCAGGATGCAACTTGCCCACCCCCGATGTCTAAAATATTAAGCTAGTATCTGAAGTGGGCTTAGCTTTTACAGCTCAATAAAGCATAAAATTTAAATTATTTGATTTGGACAGAGGTGGATGTGTGAGTAAACACGAGAAAAACAGCCACAGTATTTACCACGGTCATGCTGCGTATGATGGGGCTGAGTAGGAAGACCATGTGCTGCTGGATCTCTTGGCTTCTCTCCAGCAGGATGTAGAAGAACTCCACAAAACCAAAAGAGGCCAGCAGGAAACCCAACACCTGGACACAACAGGGAAGTAAAGGGAGACTGATTGGAGAGACTTTGAAGAACTTGCAGATGTGTTTGCTTCTTTTTTTCTTTCTTGAAAACCTTAAAAAATAAGACTATCGATGTGATATCTCACCATTTTGGCGGTGCAAAGGCAGGACATTTGAATGCGTCCACGGTCATGGCAGTAGAGATGAAGACAGTAGAAAGGAACCAGCAACCACAGATAGATGCAAGGGACCCATACCAGCACCGTGTTCTGGAAACACTGGGTGAGGTCCGGGTTGGCCGTGTACCATGTACGGTTCCAGTCCTGCAACACACAGAGAAAGTCAAGAGTTCACATCAAAAGAACATACTTAAAAGTTTGAAGCTGAGGTCAAACTGTGAGATTATATTCATCATCTAACAGACTGAGTGAAGCGAGCGCCAAGTACAGAGAATCCAGACTTGGTGCAGGTCCTACATTTCATGCATCAAGCTAGTGGGGAGTGAAAAACCACATCAAGTCAACAGAAAATGTGTCTGTGCCCAATCCTGAGAGTGTGAGCTGGAAGAAGCCTCCTTTTTTCTTTTTTTTTTTTTTTTACTAAAAAGCTGAGTCAGTTCTGGGATTTTTCTGACCACGTCTCTGGCCTGTTTCCTAATTTGAGTTGGACAGTGTTGCTGTCAACACATTAAACTGTGAGGTCAATGACTATACTAATAATGTAGGCTATAAACAATAATAATAAAAAAAAAAAACATACGCAGACGAGGTGTGTTGAGCAAATGCTGCCAAAGTTTGTGATTACGCAACAGCGGCAGGACCAGGATAGGTTGTTTAAAAAAAAAACACTACAGGGAGCTAAGTGGCTTGTTGTTGTCTTGCTTCCCTTGTTTATCACCTCGCCGGCCTAATGAGGGGCAGGGTGTCTGGCTGTGCTAACGAGACTGCCCTGCGGAGTCACCACAGGAAGCAGTTTAAAGCCTCTAGCATGGCACAGCAGTCTGCCACTGCCAGTCGACTCCCAGCTGGGATAAGGTAGAGTGGCCGCAATTGATGGCAGCTGCAGGGTCATTTCGTAATGAACTTTCCCTGCGAGCAAACCGCGCCAAGTGAGGCGACACCTCTCCAGGATAGACGCTGCAGCTCATGTCTGAGCGTAAATAGTGATTAATTCAAGTTTACCATTACTCGCTACTGTTTCCTGCCTCTGGAACCACGAGGGTGTGAATCATGATCTGACAGTAAAGGCTGCTCGACTGCACATTTATGCTTGTCTTTACCACAGGTCACAAGGGTTATGTAACAAACGCGCCATATTGCACGTACTGTATGCTTGTGGCCCCTGTGAGCTCTGATACTCCAAAGCCCATTTAAGTGATAAATCTCCCACAGCGAGTGGGAGGCTACTTTCACAGACTCTTCTGACTCCTGCGGTCAATGGCAAGCAGATGAACTGAGCACTTTTATGAAGAAATCCAACCTGTCAAACCCTCTCTCCATTTTGCTCAGTACTCATCCTGTTTCTCACCCTCTGCTGAAGTGGTTGCAGTAAAGCCTGATGTGCCAACAACTGTGACAAGGTGTCTATTTTTACCTGACAAACAGTGATGTGAAAGTGGAGGACAGAGACTTTTACTGTGCTGCGAATGTGCTGAGTGTCACTCTTTACATCATCTCTGCTTACTGAGTCAATTCAGTGTCTAAAACCTCCTGCAAAGCAAATCAAGTGCTTATAATGGGTTAAATAAATGAACTCTTGCACAAGAGTTGTGAGCAAAGCGGTTTTGAAAACAGCATTTTGCACCTAATGGGAGTTTGTGTTGTGTTCAAACTAAGGACACTATAATTTTATAGTTTTATTTTGTCCAATTTCCAGATCAGGTTGATTTAAAGAGAAATAAACTAACTACGCTTCTAGTTTTCTAAACTGGCCTCTTTCAAATGCATCCACCCTTAGAACTTTCAGGTGAGATGTTCTTGGATCGATTCTCCTCTGCTGAGCTGAACTACTTGTTCAGTATTAAAGCCACATAAATCCCCATCACTACCCCAAGGCCTGTGAGACCTGTGAGTCAGCAGTGACGCTGTTTCACAACTATGCAAAAGGTTGATACAGTTAATAACTGGAGCTACTTTGGAGCCAACACGGGACAAAAACATCTGTTACAACATCCTGCACGCTGTGATGGATGCAACACAGCTAAAGAACACCGCATCTGTATTTTGAAGTTTTATGGCAACGAGAACAGCACAAGTTCACTTTCAATTTCTCCCCACAGTTTGATGGCCGTTATTCTGCAGAAGCAAAAACACAGAATGAGCTGTAATGAGAACCAGAAACAGAGAGAAAAAGAGGGGGAGGAAAGCGGAGCTGCAACCGAGTGTGTTCAGTAATTTGGGTATTCCAGCTGGATCGCAGCCATTCTTCTATTTTCATTCTGGGATTCAGAATGTGGAGGTTTGCTAATGTACAAGACTAAAAAGCCTCTCCAAGTACAGCAGCTTCGCTCAGTTTGACGCATTCCCACCTTCTAGCATCTCATTGTACTGAATCACAGAGCAGATTGATGGTAAACACAAGTCTGACACGCAACGAGGGCCAAAGCTGCCATTCAGACTTTCTTTAGATTAGATTGCTAAGGCATACTTACAGTACAGGCTGCAAACTGTTGAGAACATTGTGTGATACGGTGATTCTCTTCTTGTACAGCTGCCAGCTAATATTTTATGTTAAACTCATTCCCCTC